TGGGGGTGGTCTAAGGGGTTTTGGGGTGCCCTGGGGGCACTTGGGGGACCGGGGGTGACTCTAAAAGGGGTTTGGAGTCTCCCTGGGGAAATTTGGGGGGCTGGGGGTGACCCTAAAAGGGGTTTGGGGTCTCCTTGGGGGGGCTGGGGGTGGTCTAAGGGGTTTTGGGGACACCTGGGGGACTGGGGATGACCCTAAAAGTGGTTTGGGGTCTCCTTGGAAGGGCTGGGAAGGGTCCCTGGAGGAGTCTTAGGGGGGTTTGGGGTCTCTTGTGGGGTTGGGCTGGGGTTGGGGTTGGCCTTAAAAGGGGTTTGGGGTCCCCTGGGGGGGTCTAGGGTGGCCCCAAAAGGGGTTTGGGGGCTCCTTGTGGGGGGGAGCCTTGGGGGAATTTGGGGGGGCTGGGGGTGGCCCTAAAAGGGGTTTGGGGTCCCCTGGGGGGGTCTGGGTGTCCCCTGAGTGTCCTGGAGGAAGGACTTGGGCAATCTGGGGGGGCTGGTGACCCCAGGCTGTGGGGGCCACCCTCAGGCCACCCCTGTGGGGACGCCACAGCCGGCCCCTCCTGCGGTGTGACAGGGCTGTGACAGGGATGGGGACATCGTGGGGACATCGTGGGGACACCACACACAGCGTCCCTGTGGCGTGACAGGGCAGGGGACATCGAGGGGATACCGTGGGGACACCAGACACAGTGTCCCTGTGGTGTGACAGAGCAGTGGACACTGTGGGGACATCGTGGGGACACCATGGGGATGTCATGGGGACACCACACACAGCGTCCCTGTGGCGTGACAGGGCAGGGGACATCGAGGGGATACCGTGGGGACACCAGACACAGTGTCCCTGTGGTGTGACAGGGCAGGGGACATCGTGGGGACACCATGGGGACATCGTGGGGACACCGCACACAGTGTGCCTGCAGTGTGACAGAGCAGTGGACACCGTGGGGACACCGTGGCGACACCATGGGGACACCATGGAGGCACCACATACAGCATCCCTGCGCTGTGACCGAGCAGGGGACACCGTGGGGACACCACGGGGTGACCGTGTCCCTTGTCCCCCACAGGTGGTGGTGTCCACCACGGTGCACGTGGACGGCCACGTCCTGGCCGTGTCCGACAACATGTTCGTCCACAACAACTCCAAGCACGGCCGGCGCGCCCGGCGCCTCGACCCTTCCGAAGGTCAGGGGACACCTGGGGACATCTTGGGGACATCCTGGGGACATGCCATGGGACCCTCCAAGCCTGGCCTGGCATCCCCAGGGCGATCCCTGTGTCCCCACCCTGCTGTCCCCAAGTGTCCGTGCCCATCCACGTTGGGTGTCCCTGTTTGTCCCCATCTGTGTCACCGCGGCCACCTGGGGACATCCTGGGGACGTCTTGGGGACGTGCCATGGGACCCTCCAAGCCTGGCTTGGCATCCCCGCCCTGTGTCCCCACCCTGCTGTCCCCAATGTCTGGTGTGTCCATCCATGGGTGTCCCTGTTTGTCCCCACCCGTGTCACCATGGTCACACGTGTGTGTCCCCGGCCATGTCCCTGTGGCCACCTGTGATTGTCCCCATCTGTGTCCATATGTCTGTCCCCCGTCGTGTCCCTGTGGCCACTTATGTGTCCCCACCCATGTCCCGATGTCCCTGTGCCACCTGTGTCCCACCCCAGCCATGTCCATGTCCCCATGTCCCCATCCATGTCCCCATGCCTGTCCCCTCTTCTCTGACCCCACCCCATCGCCCCCAAGCGCTCCCCACCCCTCCATGTCCCCACCATGGCTGTCCCTGTCCCCTCCGTGTCCCCACCATGGCTGTCCCTGTCCCCTCCATGTCCCTACCACTGGCTGTCCCC